TCCCTCTTCTCTTGAAAATCCCCTATCTGTAAGTATATATATATATTGTGTTGTAGTGACATGATGAAGATGCACTGAAATTGAACCTGTTTGCCAAATGTGTATGACAACTTTCACCTCCCCCTGTTCTGCAATTAAATCTGTCTCTGACTATGTCCAATCCATAAGCAATCACATTTTCTCATTTGTTCTTGTCAATAAGCCAAACCACACCTATCGTATACGTCATAACGTGGTTTCTCACTATGCACTTTCGTCATCTCAATAGATCACACGTTCAGGTACCTACTTACTTATTTGTTCAGATTGTGAAAATTTCAGCTACCTCCGGGAGATTCGAATACACAAAAGGGGAGGCCGACTGCACTTTCGTATAGCGCACACTCCATCAGTTGACCTATGAGATCACAACCACACCACTGTTGTTCTCTTCACCTGTTTGGATCAACCCCTTTTATGCCAAACATCCTAACCGGAACTTGTTCATTTGTTTGTTCACCGAAGCTACAGGGTTTTTCAACGATCCACAAAGAGGTCTAACCTACAGTTAATTGTCCTGAGGAAGCACACATGCCCTAACATTTAAAAATGCTGTCTTTTGACCAGACAACGTGCAAGCACCAGATGGAGAGAGAGAGAGAAGCACAATAGATTGAAAATACTGGATTAGCTGGGTGCAACTCAGAACTCTGTGGCTAAATGACTTGTTATGTGTTATCCCATCGAACAATTATCGGCGAACAGGCAGGTCAGAAGACAAATACTGCAAGAGGAATTCTTTTCGTATACTCCCTTCGATCGCGTACGTATAACATCATTGAACAAGATGGACAAATGAAGCGAATTAAGAGAAATCTAGTTATTATTAACCAGATGTGTGCGTGCGTGTGATTTTATACAGTGTGTGTGTGTGTGATGCAGGTGATTGATTAGAGCCGGGGAAGGCCAAGGGTAAAGGTCTACGCTTTTCGGCGCACCGTGTGGGTTTGTTGTGAGCGATCGATAATGCCTCGAGTATCCCTGGTCAGTGTTTGTCTCGATGACGTGACAAAACCGAGAACGTGTTCGTAAGGTCTACCGTATGGCCGCTTTCAACCAAGTGACGTGCGATAGCCGAAGTCGGTCTGCGTGATGCGGTCATAGTGTGTGATGTGGAGTCACACACATCTTTGGCGCTGTGCTCAGCCATTCGACAGTGATCGGTCGGTTTTACTAATTTATGCTTCATTGCAGCTGCAACAGAAGGCGTGAATGCAATGAGAGGTAGACTAGACTGGACAACGATCTTTGAATGGGGGGAGCGGGAGACGCCGTGTGATCCAATGGAGTCATAATGCGGCAGTGTAGTAGGTTCTTTGTAACGCGTTTTTGATACGCTTTGTGATAAACTGCATTATTGACTCCCCTTTGTATGACCTTTTACCCTTGGTATTCCCCGGCTGTAACCAATCACGTGCATCACGCACACACACACACACAAACACACACCTGGTTAATAATAACTAGATTTCTCTTAATCCGCTTTAATTGTCTATCTTGTTCGATGTTTTACGTGTGCGATCAATGAGAGTATACGAAAGGAATTTCTCGCGTAGTGTTTGTCTTCTGACTTGCCTGTTCTAACATATATATGTCTATATCCAAAATATATAATATCTATTCGATAGGTTATGCATAATCGAGATCAGCTCTCAATCATGTGCATCTCAATCGATTTCCTTTCTTCAAGAGAAGGGGTCTAGGGGAATTCGGTTCACGTGTGGGGCTGTTTGCCAAGCAGGAACTATCAAATTCAATCTGCCTGATGCGGAGACCAGAGTAGCCGAGCAGATGGTCTGATAAAGATTGATGACTGAACGATAGGCCTTGAAAAAGGAATTTGGTTCAACTGAGCATTATTTGTGTATATATGATTATGTACAAAGAACTGGAATTTAATCAATTTATTCGTTTTACAAAAATGTATCCGCAATTTCTGATTTGTCTTTATTCAGTCACTATTTTGGAAAAGAACGTGGGATACGTACTAGCCTATTGCTTTTGTTCTCGCCTTAATAATCACTCACAAACAAAGCGGAAAAAAGAAAAGAGTAAAAAGTGTAAATCGTGTTATTTTATCCAAAACCACCACCACAACCATAACCAACAACATTAACTTTGAACTAGCCTAATCGTCTGAACCGAAGATATTAGAATCACCTGCTGTCGAGCACGCCAACTGTATTGTCACTTAGAAGGGAGTGTGAGAAGGAAATGAAGTTTCCAATCTAACCCGTAATCATCTCGCCCCGTAACACCATCTTCATTTCAATTACTAAGCAAACGGGTCTCCAGTTGGCTACCCACACCTGGCTGACCATAAATTAGTCAAATCAAGTGATGCATTCACTATCCAAACTGGCAAACCGTGCGCATTGTCACGGAAAACGTGATACCACGCAATGTCTAGACAACGAAGATATAAACAAGTGTGAGAAATGAAATAATATATTAGAAGATATATTCCACGTTCATAGCGGTGCAACCGTGATGATAGTTTGACAACCTACAATTTGGACAACGTGTTCAATTACAAAACTTACATCCGAGAAAGAAAATTAGGGGTAGATAATACCTCATCTGTATGACATATTTTGGCTGGAGTTGTGCAATATCACGGTACAACAACGTTCCGAATGTCTTATCCAACGCATTGAATCGTGG